GGAGACGAGAAGAGGAGGATCGGAGGAGAAGAGCTCTCCGCCCAGCGCTGGAAAAAGGTAAGTTTTTACCCCTTTCCCCTTTCCAGAGCCAGGCAGGAGGGGGTCCCTGAGGGTGGGGGCACCCTCAGGGCACTATAGTGCCAGGAAAACGAGTATGTTTTCCTGGCAATATAGTGGTCCTTTAAGCAAATGAAAGATCCCCAGCTGGCAAAGCATTATGTGAGTTGGACAACAGATAGGGATCCCTTTACTAAGGGAACTGTCTACATTAGTTTTGCCACTGTTCATAAGAGCACACCACAGTGACATATTCATGTAGCCAGGGTGAGGGATACATCGTTTTGGTACAATATATGTTCGGGCATTTACAGAGGGATAGGTGGTACACATGCACTGTTGCTTATATAGACTGCTGCCCAATCATTCTTAATCCTAAAGCTTTAAGGAAACACGTTTACAGAGCAAGATATACATCTTATAAAAAAATATACTATAATTATGCTTGACAATTTGAAAATGGCATTTTGATGATAGGGTATATAAAGAGATCCCTGGGATTAAAGATCTATCAATTGCTTAGAATGCTCATCAACTGTCTGAAACATTCTGTGCTCTGGGATGTTCTAACGTCAACGTCAATGTTGTTAGGCTATGATGTGTCCAAATACTTCCGAGCCAAAGACATGCAACTGTTTTAGAATTTTGCATTATATATAAAGAGAATCACAAAACAATCACAGGTCCTGAGCTGCCTGCTTGGAAAACGTCTAACTGAATTCAACTTTCAAAGATTTTCTCCTCAGGGGGATCAAGTTTTCCTTAATTAAATTCCTATATAACTCACTTTTTAGTTATATTTATTTTTATTGCAACTAAAAACTTAACCTACCTGACTGTTTCTCTTAACCCCTTAAGGACACATGGCATGTGTGACATGTCATGATTCCCTTTTATTCCAGAAGTTTGGTCCTTAAGGGGTTAAGTAGCTTCCACAATTAACTAAACAAATACAAATCTGATTCAAATTCTTAAAAGTAATTCTAATCTTAAATGTTTGGGTCACCTCCGTGTGTTTGTGATTTAGGCCTCAATCCACAAACCCTGAAACATGCAATACTGACTCTCTTCATTTTCATCTTCCTGCAACTTTCAGGCCTCAATCCACAAACATGCAATACTGACTCTCTTCATTTACTCTAAGAACTGCCCACCCACCTACCCATCCAGGTTCCTACTAACATTATAGCATGTTCCTTCGACTATCTGAGGTCTTACTAAATTACACCATTATTCCTTTTACATTTTACCAGTAGCTTCAATTCTCTTAATTTCCTCAGCCAAATTCCCCCTGCTACCTCTTCTCTCAAATTCTCAATATATCCTTTAGATTGTAAGCTCACGGACTGTGTCTATCTAAGCACTTTGTATAAAAGAGCTTCAATTGCTTGATCTTAGCTCACGGACAGGGCCTTCTTTATCTTTTGGTAGGTCTGTGCATATTGTATGTTCTCCCCTAATTGTACAGCGCTGTGGAATATGTTGGTGCTTTATAAATGCCATTAACAAATAAATAAAAATAAATTTGGCAGCTTTACTAGTGAGGACTCCAGGAAGTGCTAGGTCTTGCTGCGATCATCAAGTACTACATAGCAGGATAGATTTTAAAAGCCGATATGGAGTATGTAGGCTACCATCAAGAAACATAGCAGTAGCAACATACCCCAACGTAAAAATAAAAATTGCACCTCTCTATCCATTCATCCATCCATCAATCCGTCTGTCTGTCTATCTATCTATCTATAATTTTCTCATTCTCTCGCTGTCTCTCGACATCATCCATATAACAAGACTAACCTTACTTGAGGGATCGATGGTTGGTGAATTAAAAGTGAAGGGATGAATATGAACAATTAAAATTAAGGAATTGATCTTTTGATTTTCCTTCTGTGCAGCAAAATTGCTCATATGCACTCATTGCAGAAGTAGAACCTTTTGTTAAAAAATGGGGACCCCCTTTTAACACCAGGATAAAGAAAGTAAAGGAGTTGCATAATTCCACCTCCCATAATTGCCTGCATACATGGTCTACATGGACTGAATTTCATCAAATCCCTTTAACAAGTTCTAATATATTATTACCAATATTATTATTTTTTATTATTATTATTAATGGAGTGGCTTCCAGAATAAAGATTTTCCTAATGTAGCATTTTGCTCTACCTACTTCCTGCTCATTTCTCCTCTTTTTGACATTGTCTTAAAAGGCACCTGTCATGCCAAAAATTACTTTTGCTCTTTTTAAAGAGCATCATATTTTATCTATACATAAATTATACTCTCAGTTTTTCTAGCAAATTTATATATTGGAAGAAGTAACCATTTAAAAAAGGGTTTTCTCCCACCTGTCAATCAATTCTTCGGCATAGACTTTATACT